TTTTAGCTTTTCCTCCTTACCCATGATTTTGCTCCCCACATGGTGACAACTTCCGTTAATACCCTTAGTGCTTTTTCATCTTCTATAATACTTCCAATCGCTTTTGATATTTTTTTGAATCGGATTTTTCACGAGGGGTTGAAATCAGGACTTTCTTTATCTAATATCATTATGTTAGTATGTTAGTATCTTAGTATTAGGGTTAAAGCTCAAGCCCGGTAGGATTTGGATTAGGATTTTTATATTATTATATATACTTGTTTATATGTGGTTTAATTTTACTATTTATCAATAAACATTCTATTATATTACACACTAGATTATAACCCGTGGAAACCACGGTTTGTATGTTTAAAACTATTATATAGATAAAAAAAATTATTATAAAAAAAACGTATTACAGATTGTAAGTAATCATGAATTAATGTGTTAAGTAAAATAAACATAATAAGTTAACATATATTTTGAAATACTTTTTTGTACACAACATTTGAAATTTTATTGATCAAATTATCATTCGTCTCTAAAGGGATATATAAAACTCTTATATTAATAATTATCGTTAGAAAAAAGACAAAAATATAGGTTTTTAAGATAAATTAACGAGTGAAAATATTATGTTGTTTGCATTTTCTTTTTAATACGATATTAATGTTAATTGAAATAAAATTATTAGTTAAGCATGAAAAAATCAACCGTATTGTTCCATATAGAGAACTAAATCGAGAAAAATAATTGAAATAGATGTAGGTTTCAACATGTTTTTGCATACAATCAATAAAATATAAAAAATATGTATGTCATATCATATGTATAGCCGGGTATTTCTCTTAAAAATTTATAATTTGATTTTTTTTAAACGTAAAATATAATATAGTAATTTTTCTGAATATAAAAATAATATAAGAGTTTTTCTGTATATACATGAACAATTAGTTGTGCTCTTTTGTATAAATCCCTTATTTAAAATCAATAACTTTAGTTATTTTCTATTATTATGTAATTTTATGTAATAATAAATGAAATGCATAAAAAAAATTATTGATATGCTTATGTAAGTTTATGTAATATTTGTTTTTCAATAAGATTATTTGCTTTTTATTTCACTTGATAGTAAGTTAGTATCGATCATGTTCTCCACTTTCAATTGTTAATCTAATGTTTTAGCTAATGTTATATGATATTTATTAAATTTTGTATTTTGATATCTGCATTGTTGGCCTCCATTGTTCTAACTTCTAACTAAATATCAAGGAAATTGTATTTTGTTGTGCACTTATTTACATAAATACTCATGTTACTTATTATATTTGTTTCTTTTCATAAACTTGATATGTTCATATAAGATTATGTCAAATTGATCGATTAAAATAATATTTTGAAGGAAGTTCTTTACACTTTAATGAAATTTACATTTGTATCAATGTTTTTTAGAATTGATTCTTTCCATAAGATTGATATCAACAACTGTGCTATCACAAAGATGAAATTGCAAAATGTTAAAAAGTTATATAAATTTAAAAACCGGATTGAATATTTAATAATTTAGTATGGAAAATTTTACATTTGGCAAACATATATGAAAATTTTAAATTAATAATAATAAGATAGTAATATATAAAAACTTTCTTGCCTAATGTTAGGAAAAAAAATATGGAAAAATAATCTTTAAATGTTTTTCTTCAAATATTGACCAATAATTCTGATTTATTTTCTGCCTAATTTTCGGATATAATATTTCATTACTATGTATAATTCAAAACTGTTAATATGGATATATATCAAATGAAATAGAAATCAAAAAAATGAAAAATACTACCAAAATGACATGTGATATTGGTGTTTAAAATAATGAATGTGTTATTTTTAGGTTTTGTTTATTAGAAGAAGTAGATTAAAATTTAAATTTTCTATAATTTAACTGACTAGTATTGAAAAACCATCATCAAACCTTAAACTCGAATTTTCCAAGCATCTAAAACATTAAATACCATATTAGAGTCTTCTTTTTTACCTTGGGTTGAGATAAAGCAATAAAGCATTATTCATGTTCAATTTTACATGATCACTAAAACTAAGGATAAGCTGTATAATCAAATACAAGACTCGATTATCAAAGAAAAGGCATGATTACCATCATTTATCTTTATGTTTTATTCCGCATTCTTATTTAAATATAAAGGTATAAGTCATGCTCGTAGACAATAATTTTGAAAAATATCTATTAATATACAAATAGTTTATAAGAAAACGCGTTCTTATCCATGAAAGTCCCACTTCTTAGAAAAGTAAAGAGAATTGGACGTCTTGTCAATTGGAAAAATGTGGGAAGAGTTATATATATTTTCCAAAAAAGTTATTTTGGGTTATATATAATATTTATTTGGTAATAAAATAATATTTCTTTGTTTTCTAGTGTTCTTGAGCAACAATATAATAGATTGAGCTTTTGGTTAAAAAGATTCGCTTGCTTTATCTTAAAAATACTATACGTAATCAATAAGGTTATATATTTATTTATTATTATTTTTATTAAGCTTATATCCCTCTATATCTATTTAGTGTTGTATTTGTTTTAATAACTAAAAGAGTAATAATATCAAAGTATATATTTGACTGACTAACTGAAAAATCAATTTTAATTGATAAACTAACTAATAGTTACCTAACTTATTAATTAATAATGTTTAGTAAAAATAGCTATAAACTAGATTGTAAATATAAAATGACACAAATTGATATATAAACATATAACTATAAACTAGCATTATATATAATTAATGATATATTTGTAATATATTTGAAAAAGTTCCATGAGCTTCTCAAATACTATTTCAAAATAACTTATTAAATAGTACCTATAAGTTACTTTATTTATATATATATATATATATATATATATATATATATATATATATATATATATATATATATATATATATATATAAATTATATAAATTAGTTTATGAACTAGTTTATTTTTGTCAAAGATGACTTAGACTCTATTATTATTATTATTATTATTATTATTATTATTATGAATGACATTCGGTCTTAAGATTGAAGTCTATGATGTTTGAATATGAGTTAACTTCATTTTGAAGTATTTTATACTAAATGATCAATGTTGATGATGGTTATTATTAGTATTATTAGGCTAAGGGGATGATAACACTCCTAACACATTGTCACATCAGCTTTTTGAATGTTACTTTTTTTTTTCTTCATTTAACACCTAATCTTAGTATTTGTTAGGGAGTGGTAACATTCATAGCACTCTAATTTTTTTTATTTTCTTTTCTCTAATTAATTAAATTATTTTATTTTACTACACAAACATATTTGATGCACAAATATTAATCAAACTTTATTTTAATATAACATAAATCAATTACATGAAAATAAATATAATATTAAGTGTTGGTTACTTTTGGTTCTTTTAAATCAATGTTTGATGCTTGGGACCAAATTTGTAGGGAATTATCAAATGAGGGTTAAAACAATTTTATTGAAATCAAAGTTTTGAGAATGGGAGTATATTTATAAACAAATTTGTAGTGAGGGTAGGAATCATTTATTTGAAATGAAGTTTTGGAATGAGAAACGACTTTCTGACATACACATGACCATGATAATTGAGAACCATTGGGATGGAGACTTTTCTTTCTTTCTCCACTCGCCAAGTGGTTAACGAATTGCAAATAATGAGTCCTCTAGCGAGTTTTTTCGGGGTTGTGTTTAACATTGCTAGCGAGGTTGGCGGAGTCTGATGGCGACCCCCACTCCTCTTAGTCTTATTCACACACAAACACTTCATGTAACAACGATGAGCAAGATTGATGACCCCACCTTTAAACAACAATGATATTGCATACCATAATTTCCGTCGATGTTCTCTCTCCAATTGAAATCCTATCATTTGTTAATCTTTTAACCTCCATCTCCATCGATAGTGTTAAATAAACCAAAAACTAAAAATACCATTCTATTAAATCATTAAATATATAAAACACACAAGCCAATCGACACTTAAAAAGTGATACCTATGTATTGTTTTTGTTCTTCAAGTACATGCCTAATGCCTAATGCCTGCCTTGATGTTTTCATTTTTGAAATACAAACAGGGATTGAAAAAGGCTATTCCGTGGGGATTGGCCTATGTGTTTTGGATTTTCCTTTTGTTGGGTACAAAAATATTTCAAAAATCCATAAATAAATGTACTATATATTGATTTGTAAAAGTTATTTAATGATTTTAAATACTTGCCAAATGCATAAAAAGAACAAAAAAAAAGTATTGTATGTGAAAGAACATACTTTTAACTAATTGTCTTTTTGGATAAAAAAAATATTTTCAAAGTAAACTTTATATTAAAGTAAATTAGGGAATAGTATCTTTAATTGATGGTGTTTAGTCTCTACTTTCTGATTTTTGAATCTAGGTTTTTAAGATCATGTTATCGACCAATTCTGTCATTTACTCTAAAGTTTATATCCAAAAAGTAAACTTATTACATAAATAAAATTAAATAATAAAATCTTTCTTTTTTACATATAATTTGGTTTATACAACAAATAAGAATATTGAAAATGAAATATAATTTTACATATATACCTTTTCATAATTATAAATGGGGCCAAGTACATTATTTTCAAACTAGCCCATTCTTCACAAATTTAACCAGGGCTTGCATATATTTGATGCCTCAACCTAACAAGTACACAAACCCTACATTTTTAGGAGTTTTGCATTAACACCCCCTTCTTAAAAACAGTACCCCAATAGTCAGAGCATTTTACCTCCCTAACTATCATATTTGCTTTTTCGTCGTACACTAACAAATTATTTCATAAAAATACAAAGAACACTATAAAATCATCATACTTTGCACTTCTTTTGTTCCTGAACATTTTTTTGTGGAAAACCACGGTTTAAAAAGTCAATCGATTATAGAAATTGAATCAGCATGAGAAAAGATGCTGCAAGTTGTGTTCATTTCCTAAAATCGGAAATTTTTCCCGGTGAAGGTTTGACCGAACTGCCAATTGGCGGGAACAATGTTCCATGAGGTGGAGGTACGTCGGTCACTGCCTGTAACCCTGAAAGAGAGGGATTGACCTGTAAGAACAGCGTTAGATTGCCAGTTTTGACCCCAGTTACGGCTCATGCTCATCCAATTAGTCTTTGTTCCTTTCACCCATGCCTTTTGAATATCACCCGCACCCGCAACATTGCTGATCAAAACCAAGTTGAAGTAACGGAAACCGTTAATTGTGAACCTAATCCCGCCTGCCTTCCTACAAGGGACTCTGCGGAAATAAATAACAAACACAAGGGTCAGTTTTGCCAATTCCAAAAGGTGGGAAGCAGTTACTTACTAGACTTTCAAAGTCAAAACTTCGACCCCAATATTTTTTAATATTTGTTTTTTAAATAGAATTCTTAGAAAATAAAAATGTATTTCACAATAATACCAAATAAAAGCAATATATTACAATCTGTAAATTAAAACAATGCCGTAAATATTGAGTTTTTAAATAAAAAAAATAATAAAATTATTATATTTATAGTTATAAAAATAAAAAATCATATGATCAGTTACAAATTCAATTTAATATTAGAAATAAAAATGGTATAAATAATTAGTCAAAAAATAATAAAACTTTAGAATGTTAAATATTATAAAGAAGCAGATTGAAAAATTGTTAAATAAACCGGGTTAACCGTGGCAAACAAAAAACACAAAACAAAACATTTAATAAAATCTAACATGTGTTTATTATTGACCTAAAAATAATTAACTAACCTAATAATAAAAACTCTCCTTGAATCAAACACACTCATTTTTTAAAATAATTAAAATATTTATAAAATAATAATTGTGGTTTTAGTACATTCTATTCCGAAACCAACGGCTTTGATTTTGTATAAGAAGGAAGAAAGCGTAGAAGGTGTTGCAGGGTACACCAAAAGTACCGTGGAACCTACTGCGTTTACTATAATCACGTGACCAATCGATTGGTCGTAGTACAATTGGTACCCTCTCTCAATAACGCTATCAAATTTTGTAGTTATATTCGCACATGATCAAATAAATAAAGCTTTAAATAAAAAGGGCCTTTATTTATTTTTTAAAAAAGGGAAAGGCAATCATAATGATGTAAAAGTCAAATTAAAGTTCCACTTTAAATATTTTAAAATATGAATGAAAAGCATGGAACAACAATTAACAAATCTAAAAAGCCGATCATTTGGAAATCAAGAAACTTTTATATTTGATTGAGTGGTTTAATTATTTAAAGGGTGCTATGTTAGTATAAGCTATAGTTGAGGGTAGTAAAATGAAAATTCTACAACTGGAAAGGACAATAGAGGCGATTAGTCGTCTGCAGGTACGGCAAACCATGTGTGCAATTCTGCATATATAACCACTAAACCAATAACATGCTCGCAATTAACATGTTCCAGGGTATTTTAGTCAAACCATAGCAAACAGATATAGATGTATATTCTCGCCTCGGGGTATTTATGTCAAATCGGTCGGAATCATTGGTAACTTGTACCTCATGCATAAAATGTTGTATGTTTCACTGGAATTGTGTTATTGAAACGAAACGTCGGAGGAAAGAAAGGCATACCGGCGGTAAGAGACGGGGACGATTCCGGCACGATACTCTGCAATTTTAAGAAACATGGGCATGGCGAGGTCAAAGTGAGTACGGGGAGGGTTGCACCAACCACCATTGTCGTTTGGTAAGGCGAAATTCGGTGGGCAGAAGTTGGTGGCGGTGATGAAGATAGAGGGGCTTCCGGGGTGGCACCACCGTGGGTCGTTGGTGCATTTGATTTCAAAGCAAGAACCGCAACTAAGTCCGTTATTAAACAACGCTGTGCTCAACGCCGCCGTGTTAACGCCGTAGCCTTGGCTGTATAGGTTGCCGTATCCACAAGCACCTCCTATGAAACAAATGTAAACTCAACATTATGCATTGGAAATTTCGAATTTGTAGTAAGGTTATGAACCAAGGAATATTCCGGTGACTGGTAACATACCCATAGTGCCGGAAGCATCACTGCCGCCGTAGAAGGTAGCATGAGCACCTTGCCATGCCCCGCCGGCGTAGTTTCCGGGGATTCTAGCTTCGGTTACCGACAATAGAGTGATAATGAGGAAGACAATGCCGCCGGTGATTACCATTTTAGTCATGCTTCACTGTACTTTGCTGGAGTAACGGTGGCTGGTAGCGGTGGGTATGAAGAGGAATGGCAGTGGGTGTAGGGTACTTATGGAGGGGAGTTCATGGGGATGGATGTACGTAAGGGCAATTATGTAAATTTATATGTTTGAAATGTCCCTATTTGCGCTATTAAATAATAAAATATAAAATTATAAATTACGCTCGTAAGTCGTAAATTAAGTTTAAAGTGGTGAGATTGTGTGGGGCCTCTAAAAATTACAACTTTGCATTGTTTGATTGTTGTGCATCCGAGTGACCCGACTCATATTTTAGATAACCGGATCCGACGGATATTATATCTTGATCATCACATTTATTTGCATTTAATTTGATTAGATGCAATCGTAAATATTGTTTTTCAAAAATTGGGTAATAGTTTCCATGTTCTTCGTATACAAAGTTCTATTTTATTTATTTATTTTAAATGAGAATGCCATAGTTGTTTTGAGGGAAAATGACTCTTTGAGGGTAATTAACTTTTGCGTTTGGACTCATTTGGTCCTTTTTTTTTTATTCAATATACCATCGAACTTGTTTGCATTCACTATAACCTTTTTGACCGGCCTTTGACCTGTGATAGTCGGTCAAAGGGTTATGGTGAACACAGACAACAAATTCGATGGTATATTGAGTACAAAAAAAAAGGACCAAATGAGAACAAATACAATAGTTGCAATGATCATGTGCTAGTTATATTAACAATGCATAAATATAATTTTGGAAGTCGAACTAGTATTTTTTTTTTTTTTTTGTTAAATAACATGTCAAGTATTATTAATCGGTGCTGGAAAAATGTATATTATGATCACACATCATTAAGGATTATGTTTGACATATACGTTTTTAACTTTGTATTGGTAAAAAGAAAAGTAAATATGGAAATAAAGTTGGATTATTCCATTTTAGGGCACACGAAATAGCGTTTACATTATGAAAGTAAATCGATTAATCATAAGAGTGCCCCGAATTACCAAACAAATGTACAAAATATGGTTGTCTGTTCAAAAGTAGGGGTATTAATTGGGGGTGTTGAGTTAGGAGAAATGTACCTTTTATTTATATTTTAAGGGTACCCTTTTTAATTTTTGGGTTGAACATTTGTTGATATATTATTGCAAATTTGATTGTTATAAAGTAATTCTTACTATTTTAGTTAAATAATATGATTACGACATAGGTGTGGAGCGTTTGAATTCATAAGGGAGGAGGGAGTCATTCTCTTCTAACCCACTAAACCCATTGCTACATCATTTTTTCTTTTTTATTTTTCTTTATCTTTCCTAACCCACAACACACGGAAACTTTATCTTTTTTAACTCACTCAACTCATTCAATTAAAAAAATACAAAACAATCAAAGATAAAATCATAATTAGAAATAGAGTTACTGTTGGTACAACTCCAACTTCAACGGATTGGTTAATTAGTTTCACTAACCTACTTCATCATCTATCTCTCATTTTCTCTTGTACTATGTGTTTTAAAATTTGTACCTTAGTTGTTTTGTATTTTTTTAATTGAGTGGGTTGAGAAATATATTATATATGTGTGTTGTGGGTTGGGAAAGATGAAGAAAAATAAGAAACAAAAATTGATGTGACAGTGGGTTCAGTGATTGGGAGGGAACGATTCCCTCCTCGCTAATAATGAATTATGTTATAATAATACTACTTTATTTTACTTGGGAGGATGAGCTTTTAGAAACCAGAATGGTTATTGAGTAATATGATAGAATTGAGGTAAACGTATGAGTATGTATTTTGCTTTTTATATGTTACAGAAATAAATTATGTTAGGTATTTTGAGATTAGTTTGTAAAAATAGGACACTTTTGAAAATACATCCCACAATTTGGCCAAATTCATTGTAAATCTTACAAATTGAGTCCTCTAAGTCATTTTTTTCTCTTTTAACTTACGTAATATATGTAGACAAAAATATTTTGTAGTTTTCGAAATCTATCAATAGATAACGTTGAAACTTGAAAGACGTTGCATCATGGTTTTATATGTTAGAAAAAAATAGACAACACTTGTCAAAACTCAAAACAAATAAGATGTCATTTGTTAAGTTCGGATAATCATTGTTAAGAAGTAATGTGGATAACACACAAAACCAAAAGCACACAAAGACATAATATTTACACGATTCAGTTAAGATGACTTACGCCCATGGTCAGGGGGTGGTATTCTTTATTCATAGAATTCTCAAACAGAGATTATAAGTACAACCATCAGAGATTCGACCTACTCACCAGGGATACAAAATGATTGTAACATCAGGATCCTTAGAGGTATTTAATTTTAATGTATTTTGGATTTTTTGGAGTGACCACGTCGTGGTGAAGGCATCCTACGACGTGGCGATGCTGGAAGTTTCGCGGATCATTTAATGATCCCCACGACATGGCATTTATTAGCCATGATGTAGAGATCATCTGTCATGAAAACCCTTATTTTTTCGAGTATTTAAAGGAAAGTGGAGAGGCTAGGGTTGCCCATCTTCAGCCTCCACCATTCTCCAACCCCATAAACTTAACCCTAACCAACCTTGAAGTTTTTGACCTTATTTTAAAGCCTTTTTGGTGATTTTGAAGGAAGTGGAAGAAGATTAAGTGCAAGAAGCAAGCAAACAACACCCTCCAATCTCTGGAATCATTTTGCTATATCATTTGTAAGGACCTTTAATCTACTTTTTCATCTTTTCTCTATTGATATAGAGTTACCTTGCATGATTAAACTATTTGATGGATTTCGAGTGAAACAAAATAATAAAGTTTACAACTTTATGACTCTTAGGAGTCCCAAGGACACCATACTTAGTACATCTGATAAATGGTTGTGGTTTGGGATCCATACATTAGTTTAGGTCCCTTTTCTACTCTTTTTGACCTAGATCTGATGGAGAACATGCATGGGGCATGCATGTACATAAAGTTTACATTTTTAGGGATCAATAGGACCCCTAATGCATGTACATAAAGTTTACATTTTTAGGGATCAATAGGACCCCTAGATGCTTTCTGGAAAGTTTGGGCAAAAGGATTTACAAATTAAGGACCTTGGAAAGAATTCTGCCTTCAAACCTTTTCCCACGATGTGGCAGTAGGGTGTCACGTCGTGGCGATGGGGTTTTTCGCAACTGTTTTGATACTGTCTCTTCCACGACATGGTGCTTTTGGGGCCATGGCATGGCTATCTATTTTGGTACGAATATGGATTTATCCAAGACCGGTTTCGGATTGGGTTGAACCCATCAGCCACGACGTGGAGGTCCACTTAGGTTGAGTTTGACTTTAACTTTTAACTGTTGACCGTTGAGTGTAACGTCCCGAAAACAAGGGTAAACATTTTATTTTTAATTATAATCAAAACACTAATGTAACTTTATCCAAACATTGAAAAGCATTTCAAAGTAAAATAATTATTAGAGTTCATTCCCAAAATCACGTATTGCGGAAAACACGGGTGTATACACTGCGATCAAGTCGGGCCCTTCCCTTTCAAACCGGAAGTACCTGAAACCATAAACCACAAACTGTAAGCACAAATCTCATTGAGTTCCCCAAATACCATATACCATACAGATCATATGAGACATACATGGCATACATATCCAATCAATCAATAAAATTCATATGTGCCAACCATAGTTTTGTCATTATGCCACAAGTCGCCTCGTGGTCTACCTTGCAAGGCCCGGGGCCAAAACCCTGGGTCTTATAGACAAGTGCCAGGAGCCACCCCTGGTCTTCCATGCAAGCATCATAAAGAAAACTAGCATACAATCTACAACTACTTAACTAATAATTGCTAGAGTTTAGACTTCGGTCTTGCATACAGATTACCAGGAGCCGCCTCCTGGTCTTTCATACAAACTGCCAAGAGTTACCCCTGGGTATTCCTACGATACATAAACCAAATGGGCCGGAAATTGTGCCTTCGACCCATATAACATCGAGGAAACTCACCTCAAATGCAGAAGCCCACTGAAATAAATCCCTAGCTACTGTCCGAGCTATCAATACCAAAATAACACCCAATTAGCAATTGGGTTCCAAACTATGATTCATAATATATACTTAGGGTAAAATGACCATTTTACCCCTGATCCAACTTGAATTAAAACTGAGGCCCAAAACCAAAAGATCCATAAAGGCCCATTAATGGCCCGATTTTCCAAATTGGGCCCAAACCTATATGGGCCTTATCCTAAGCCCAAAAATTCCCTTAGTCCAACAGTTGATCTCAGATGGCCCAAAAGACTAAAAGCAACAAGGCCTAAAAGACACCATGAGGCTCAAACCCAATTGGGCAACACTTCACGAAATAAGCCCAAACTCAGCCCAAAGATGTGAGGCCAAAAAACACGACAAGCCTAAATTTACGTCGAATGCGGGGTGTTTGCTCAGCTACATTAGGCGTACTCGATGAACCCTGGTCACGACTTCAAATTAGTACGTTGGGCGTACGGCCAGTTACGCGGGGTGTAACCTAGCTTAATCCAAACTCGACTTTATAAGCTGGAAATGAAGCCAAGAGTCTGGATCTAAAAGTCTTCCTATTAACCACAAGCTAGCACTAAGCACCTTTTTCTTGAAAATGTGAAAAAAACACACCAAAGTGCACACTTAGATCTCTCAAACTCTCAAAATGAGATTAAGGTTTCCAAAATGAGGCTAGGAGACAATGGATGTTGAGAAATGAAAGAGCCTTAGGCTCATAAAGATGTTTAAATAGTGCACAAACCCTAAAAATTAGGGTTTTGAACTCTGCTCATTACGTTGGGCGTACTCACCCAGGCATGTGCCCTCCTCCACGCACGCATGGGACCAGCTTGCCAACTTTTTCCACTAAGGGCCAATTTTGTCAATATCTTCAAAGTGCCATAACTTCCTCATCTTAGGTCTGTTTCCAGCGAAACTTATATCCACTGAAAGGTGGCGAGAATCCTTATGCTTCTAACAACACACCCAAGCCTTAACACTTCCCGAACAAAACCCAAATGCCATAAAAGACCGAGTTATCAAATTATGATTATACCATTGGCCTCCAAAGACA